GATTTGAATGACTCTGCCCGAAAAAAAAATATTTAAATGCATATTTAATTCTCCGAAACCCTATTTCAAGTCTGGCGATAATGGTCATGTATTCTCTTACTACACTAGTTTTGTCACGTCATCTAATATAGACCGACATAAAAACGAATCATAAAAAGGTTGTTTACAAACATTGATTACGTGATCATGTGAAGAAAGTATGTCCGTGATGCTGATCAATCATTTTAACTTCCTGTTGATTTATTACCAAGGTAAAACGGACTCAATGATAATTCGCACGTATTACTATTTCGTCTTAAGTAAACAGCTTTATGCTAAAAATATATCTCGCTACTAAAAATAGAATTCCGAATCCGAGAATAATATTCATTGGAAAAAATACAAAGAAGCAAAAATGAAATAAAAAGAATTTTAAACCTTACACACAAGCAATTTAATCACATATACGTTACAATGCAAATAGTAAAAGGGATTGCCAATAAAAAAATATTAAAAAGCAAATATTTGTAAACCCTTTTAAATTTGCAAATTATAAACGCTTTGAGTCATTGCTGATACTTTTAACAAGCACATTAAGATACATAGGAAGATGATCGACATGTACAATGCCTTTACAGCATTTTGTTACAAATGTGTCTTTGTAATCGACATAGCAAGATGGTTCTTGGTGAAATATGCTATACTAAAGGCAGAAGTGATGCAAGTTCAAAGGTCATGTAAATGATTGAGCCATGATGAATTGTTTACATTGTACCCATTCCGCCATTAATAATTTCAAAAGCTTTGTAGGACACGTTATTCAATACTCCCTGCTACAGATCGGCTTGCTGGTGATTGGAGCAAATTTTGGCAATACGATTCTCAAAGAGACAGAGAGACATATGCAAACAGAAGGAGTGAATGGCCATAAAATCTGAAAAATCCTAGTGACACTTGTTTCTGATAATATCTGAAGAGTCCTCATATGACACTAATGTTTGCTTCATAATTCCATGTTTAATGAAATATTCATCCATAATCTGGCGGTCAACTCTCAATGCTCTGCGTTTATTTTAGCTAGTTCTTGAATACATGCCACAACGTACCAGAGCACTCTTGTATCTGCTACAATGGAAGGTTTTTTTTCACAGTGATGTTAATGGAAATACAACACTCAAGCCAAAATAATAGTAATGTTGCTTTCATACTCTTTCGTAATTTGCATACTAAAATTGGTGAATTGATTTATCCGAGCAAATAAAATCATTTCTTTTTTCACTTAAAGCAAAATGCTGCTACAAGGATAATTGGTGTTGGCCAGGATATTGCTCTAGTGGTCTGGCAAAATATTGTTACTGTGCCCAAGGTTTCGAAAGAGATGGATCGACATCGTACTCAAAATGTAACTGTAAGTACAAATGTAACTATTAAAATATTGCCTTACATTTATCAATCTCCTCATGTACTGGTGTCATAGCGTGTTGCTTGATGATTGATTGATTGATTGATTGCTATTTTACGGCGCATCAGCACTGTGAGGCTATATAGCGCCAAACATAATTATATATCCTTTTACATTTAAAACTGCTAAAATAATTTTATTGACCAGCGATTGGGGTCCAAACAGTTAAAGATAAAGCGATAAAAATGTGAACGATGGTAAAGTATTAAAAGTGTCCCGATCAACGGGGTGTGCAAAAGTATGATAACGAAAACATATGATTGGCAATTAAAATCTATCGACTGCATAAATATAACACAAAACTGAACAAGGTGTGTTAAATAAGTATGACCGAGTCGAATTCTTGCAATGACTACCTCCTCTCTACGGACGGATCTGTAGGAAGGGGTCCATTCTCCTAAGGTTGGCTTGATGGCATGAAGTTTGTTATTCACGGCATCATTCCATGATGCCTGCCATTTCTGACGTAAACAGTCTTTGATACAACGTTTAAAATCAGTATAGGGTGCTTTAAAATCAGTTGGTTCTAGTAATAGGGCCATTTTAGCAGCACGGTCTGCTTTATCATTACCTTTAATTCCTACATGGCTGGGTAACCAACAGTATACTATATTGTGGGAGGTACTCAGCTCAGTATGCTTAAGGAGAATGTTTGCTAATAATGGATTCTCCAGTTTTCTGTTATGTAGTGACTGAAGTACTGATAGTGAGTCGGGGAATATTATGCTATTTGAAATACGCTTGCTTGCAATGTATTGCAAAGCAAGGTCTATTGCTCTAATTTCGGCTGAAAAAATTGACGTACCATTTGGCAAGCGAACTTTGGTTGTGTGGTTTCCACTTACGAAAGCTGCAGCAGCCTTTTGTTCATCCTTTGATCCATCAGTATATATTTTTGTATACTTTTCAAATTGTGAGAGGACTTCATGGTAAGAGTTGTAGAAAATATAAGGGTTTGTCTCCGATTTTTTTTCCATTATGTAACGTAAAAATTACCTTTGGTTGCTGAAGTAGCCATGGTGGTGTTTCGGAGATGTTGGCTTTCAAAATATTTGAAAATTTAATTTGAGAACTTTCGAGAAATAGTGATATTCTAATGCCAAATGTAGGTATAACATTTGGTTTATTGTCATATAAGGATTTATATTTTGGTTCAAAAACTGCCGAAAAAGCTGGGTTCAGAGGGCTGGATCTTAATTTGATAGCATATTGTGCGGAGAGCATTTCTCTACGTTGTGATAAGGGTGGTTCATCCGCTTCGACGAGGAGACTTTCACACTGAGATGTTTTAAATGCTCCCAGGGCAAGTCTTATTCCCTGATAATGGATTGGGTCAAGCATCTTTAAATACGATTTCCTTGCTGAACCATAAACAAAACAACCATAGTCTAATTTGGAGCGTATAAACGTTCTGTATAAATTGAGTATGACTCTCCTATCAGCACCCCAGTCAGTGTGCGCTATTATTTTAAGTAAATTAAGTGATTTCAAACATTTGGCTCTCAAATGTTTCATATGTGGAATAAAAGTCAGTTTTCTATCGAAGATAATGCCTAAACATTTTGTTTCCTCAACAACTGGAATAGGTGTTCCTTCCAGCGTGAGATTAGGTCCATCGTGATGTCTTCGTAACTGACAGAAATGCATACAGACAGTTTTTGATTTCGAGAATTTGAAGCCATTCGTGTTGGCCCAATTTTGAATTTTGTTTAAATTTTGTTGTAATTGTCTTTCAATTGTATGCATGTGTTTGGATCGGTAACATATTAAAAAGTCATCAACATATAGTGAGCAATCCACACCTTGAATCAGACACTTGGTGAGGCATATCGTATTGCGAAAAGTTCACTTTTTTCTTTAGACATTTTACTGATACAACCTCTTTTCTTCCTTCCATGGGCATGAATCTTTCGTGTCATCATGCCAGTGTTATGTCTAATTACGGTTAAATACATGCGAGCCAAAACTAGTTCCCATAATGTTTATGTAAAATCAAGGAAAAACTATAGTCAGACTGTTTACATATATCTAATATAGACAGTTTCTGTTTTCTAGTCATTGAATTACATTATACACCAACACCTACACAAAGCTTATGTAATTCATACTTATGAACAATTTAGCTGATGTAAATATTGCCGCTCAACACATTTGTGTTTTCTAATCAAAGAGCTTGCAATATATAAATATTAAACATCAACATAAGAACACGAACGGTTCTCAGATCATCTTTTATACTCCATCTATTCCTTAATATCAATGCTTGGAAACAAGCAATCTTGGGTCTCGTCTGATTTCCTTAGTTCAGTTTAATGTACACATCACCACGCTGAGAGAGTAGCCATTTTAGCCATTTTGTATTTGAAACTTCTTGTCTTTCTGGTAGAGATAGAAGTATATCCGTCAATCAAGACAACCGGGTCTGTTTATATCATGCAACGGAAAAGGTCTTGAATACTACTATATTGATTGAGAGCCATTACTGGATTATCAACTCTTTCAGATATGACGAATATTTTATATCACGAGAAAACCCACTCTTTCATGCAAGGAGGAAATTTGTATATGGTCATACGTTCTTAGTTCTGGATGCAATATAGTTCATGCGTTTTGACTGTAGAATAATAACTGCTCTGTATCATTAGAGTAAAGGGTTGAAGTAGCTCGTTTGCTAGATTGACGACAATGTAATCATGTTGTTGCAGGAGAAATGGAAGTCGCCTTTTGTGTCAATGTGACAGATATTGTTCGATATCTTTATATACTTGCCTGTAAAATAAAGTTATCTTTGAAGAAAAAATATTCTCTTCGATAAGAAATACGAGTTACATCAGGGCCCAGAGTGGCCGAGTTGTCTAAAGCGCTAACCGTTCCGGATCTCTGCCATCTCACCTTTGCGTGGGTTCAAGTCTCAAGCTCGTCTAACGTGGGTGAGTGAGAAAGCCTGCCAGTAGCTTCTTGTGGGTTGGTGGTTCATCACGGTGTTTTCCAGAGTTCTTCCTCCATGATTGATGCTGGTCGCCATGTATAGCCTATCTTGTGCTGAAGAATGGCAGTAAACCCTACAACAACAACAATAACAACGAGTTGTCATTCAGTATTTGAAACATATCTCCAAAGACCGGACGAAGTTTCGGTTTATGGTCTACAAAGAATAACCAAATACGGCTTAAGTTGATTTCCTATTTATTACATGACCAGACTGTCTTTTGATCTTGGCGAGAATAGCAGTTCCATAGATTATTTTAATGCCTCAACAGCTGTTTCCAAATCAAACTTATAAATTTGCTAAGAATTGTGTATGTGTGTGTGTGTGTGTGCGCGCGCGCTTTGGATTTCTAACGAAGCTTTAACAATGTTTCAGTCATATCGCTACGATGTCTGCAATTTGGCAGTTTATAGTAATTTCTAGCACTGGGGCATCACGCTGAAGACATGTAGCGTGATGTCCCACCCAGTCACAATATCCTGATGCCAGGCCAACCAGCCCTAACACAAACCTCTTAATGCTGAGCGCCAAGCGAGGTAGCTGTTAGTACCATTTTTATAAGTCTTTGATACGACCTGGCCAGGATCTAACTCTCGACCTCCCGCATCCGAGGCGGACGCTTTAAACACTAGGCCACCGGAGAGGACAAAATAAAATACTTTCTATCGAAAATTAGTGGTTCGCATAAAGGGATCACTGTATCATTGTTTAAATACTTATAAAAAGCAACTTGGTCCGCCGCACCGATAACCAGCATTTATGCGAATCACATTGCATTTGAATCTTTCTTTTAATTACAGTCCATTTGGTTATTTTCGATAAACTGTTAGTATTCTGACCCTAGCACACAAAATAGACATGTAGTTTAGAATTTCGATACTGTTTTTAAGTTAACTTTTTTATTAAATCTGTATACATTCATTATAAATTTTAAATAAAGTTAAAAGCATGTCGGCATCTGTCTGTCTTCGGGAGACGATGGTGTAGCTTCTGGTTGAGTGTCCTCTGTTGCACTTTTTGCAAGTGAACGTTGATGCTTGTTGAGTCTTTTGTTGTTTCGCCTTCCTCCTGGCTCTCTTTGTAGCAAGATTTGTGTTTATCTTTTCATCGGATTTGTGAACTCCCTGTCTGACAGCAAGGCTCCAGAGGGAGCGTTCGTCAGTACAGTTCTCCCAGCTGTTGACGTTGATGTTGGCCGTCTTCATGTCCTTCTTGCAGACATCTTTGTAGCACAGGCGTGGCCGTCCAGTCAATCGTGTGACTTTTGCTAGCTCGCTGTATAGCAGGTTCTTGAGAATGCGGCATGGATCCATTCTCTTGACGTGGCCGAGCCAGCGAAGGCGCCTCTCGCTTAGGAAGGAGAACGTGCTGTTCATTTTGGGGCGTTACATAACCTCAGTGTTGGATACTTTGTCCTGCTGCTGTAATCCAGAATGCGCAGTAGGCATCTCAGGTTTAAACTGTTTAATTTTCTTGCGTGGCTTGTGCAGCTGGTCCATGCCTCGCTGCTGAAGAGGAGTGTGCTGCGCATGAATGCCTGTTAGATGTGCAGTTTGATCTTCTCATTGAATAATGGGTTGTTCCATACACTCTGATTCGATCCAGTCAGTCAAAACTGCTACTGTCTTTGTAATCCTGCAATTCACATTAGCATCTCAGGCGTGGGAGAGTCGCTTACCAGATTCTTCAGTCCATCTTCCGTACGTGATGTCAAGGCTGCATCGTCGGTGAAAAGCAATGCATGGATGAGGTTGTACCCATCGATAGCGATGGTGCAAAGGTAGTCTTCCTCCTCCGTCATGACGTTCGTCTTCTTAAAAATGGTGGTCAATCCAAACTGCTTTCAGTCGTGGGAGAGGCGTCTTACCAGATTCTGCAGTCCATCTTCCGTACGTGATGTCAAGGCTGCATCGTCGGTGAAAAGCAATGCATGGATGAGAACATCTGTAACTTTAGTCTTTGCACAGAGACGAGCGATGTTGAACAGCTTGCCGTCATCCCTGGTGTGGATGTACACTATCTAAATGAAGTCCTTGAAGGAGAAGCATGGATAAGAAGATGGCAAAGAGCGTCGACCCAAGAAAGCAGTCCTGTCTCACTCTACTGCTGACAGGTAATGCTTCTGATATAGCTCTGTTGAAGCGCCCCGTTATTTGCATGTTCTCGTGAAACGATGTGACGACCGCGAGCAGTCGTGGGGCAAGCCGATCTTCTCCAGGAGCCTAAAGAGTCCGCTCCGGATGACCAGGTCAAACACCCTCCTCAGGTCTATGAGGTCGATGTAGAGGGGAGTCTGCTGCTCATGACACTTCTCCTACAGATGGCGTAGTGTGAAGATCATGTCCACAGTTTACCAGCCGGCTCAGAAGCCACATTGTGATTCTGCTTAGATGCAGGAGTCTAGGCCGACACGTGCAAAAGCTTTTCCAAAGATGCTAAGGACGGAGTTGCACCGGTAGGTGTTGAAGTAGCTACGGTCCATTTTGTTCTTGTACAAAGTGACGATATTGGCGTTTCACATGTTCTGGGGGATGGTTCCTGTTCCCAGATGAGGCAGCTGTAGTAGTACTGGTTTCCTGCTCTTGAGGACTTCAGATGATATGCCGTCGCTCCCAGTGGCCTTCGCACGAGCAAGGCAGTCGATTGTTTCTCTGAGTTCTTCTGGTCATTGTTGGACTGGCAGGTTTGGGATGGTGCCCAGGGCGGTGTCGGTGACGCATTTTTGGGCTGCATACAGCTCATCCGGGCGCGGAAGCTGTTTCCCCTGGTATATAAATACTTCGCCCGTCTTCGACTTGAGGGTACAGTCTTGGAGGTTGGGACCTGTCGTCTTCTTGATACCCTCGTATACACCTCTTGCAACCACAGTGTCGACACCTTTCTGTATGCATCTTCAGAGGTTCAGCCAGTAGGTGTTGGTGCAGTGGCGGGCGATCCTCTGAACCTTGCTCCTAGCAGTCCTGAGGGCTTGCTGTGTACTAGTGCTAGGCGTAGCCTTGTAAGACAGGAGGGCATTCCTCTACAACTCAGTCACGGGCTCTCCATCGCCTCTCAGTTGGCCTCATACCAGTCGGTATTTTTGTGCTCCTTCTTCCTGTAGGAAGTAATGGCTGAATTGTACACAGTCTCGGAGGTGAGACCACTTAGAGTTGATGGTGTCATCAGGTGTCTCTTTGGTGAGAGAATCCTGAAGATTGCTGATGAACTTATTTGTCTTCTCTGGGTTGTCTGCACAACAGGTGTTGATGCGTTGGTGACCCTTTTCCTTGGCGTAGTGCATCTTCTTAGGTATTATTCGCACCTTGCTGTCCATGATGGAATGGTCTGTGTCGCTGTGGTAGTTCCTGGTGAGTAAAACACTGGCCAGTTCCACATGCCTAGTGATAACGAGGTCAGAATGGTGCAAGTGGTGGAAACATGGGTGTCTCCATGACACCTGGTGAATTTCCTTGCATCTGAAGTAGGTGTTGGTCACATCTGGCGCTGAGAGCAGCACATATGCAGCAGTCGCCGGCCGTTCTCGTTGATCTTGCCCCTTACATGAGAGCCTAGACAGGTGTGCCAGTTCTCTTGGTCAGCTAATATTCTAGCATTGAAGTCTTATAGTTGGTATTGCTTGATCCAGAGCATCGTATAACTGATCTTTCTCCACTTTGTTGGAGCAGAGAGTTGGGGAGTACAAGCTCAAGATGTTGACTAGTCTTAGGATGTTGACAGCCGGAGGGCAAGGATTCTCTCAGTGCCTGATGACGAAAGCTCAATGAAGGTAAAGATCGTGTTCCTTACAGCGAATCAGATACTGTCCTGCCTATGTTCATCCGAGGACTTTACTTGCCAAAAGAAGGTGTAATTGGCTTACCTGAAGGTGCCTCTGTTGCCCAGTCGTATCTCCTAAAGGCAGGCAATGTCGACGTTCAGTCGGTAGAGTTCCCTATCAATGACGGCCGTTTTCAGGGCGTCGTCGATTTGCTACAGGTCATCGATGAATCCTGGACATATGGTCCTGACGTTCCAATTTGAGAGACGAAGATCTGGAGACTTCTTTATTCTTCTTTGAGTCTTGTCAGGTGCGGAGTTTGTGGCCTCCTTGTTGAGATGGTTATCTAAGTTCCATGCACCCAGTGAAGCAGGCAAGCCATGGCGGGACAGCACCTTACTACCTGGGGGCTGCCCTGTTTAAGGTGAGCGGTAGCTGTCGAATGAGAAATGGTGTTCTCTCCCATCGTCGGAAGCAACCCCTAGCGCCACGCTCTACGCCAATCGATCTATTACTTAGAACCAGTAAATTGCTGATACCCGTGTTGTGCCTGCGCCTTACGACGACGCTGGAGTGTCCTCTCCAGTGGAGCTACAAAGCCTGGGCAGGATAGTATAGATAATCAGCTTTTTACCATGCAGCAGATCCCCTTTCTCCACATAGCTGGTGTTTCCAAGGGAACGAAAAATGCCGATACAACTTGGTACCATAGTTTGTCAAATTTATAATAACTAAACATTTTTTCCACTGCTTTTGTGAACGCAGCTCAAATCATCGTTTTTTAAAACAGCTGTGAAGCTTGATACAAATTTTGTTCATTATCTAAAGATGCGCATGTCAGCAAATCACTTGGCTTCCCTGAATGTTGTCTCTCCTGTTTCAGCACATATACATATCTTATTTCATCATCGTTGTTGAGGGCGAGGGCAGCATAGTCAAAGATTGCTAATGCTTGCCAGAAGGCTTGCTATGGGTTGATGGTTCCTACCAGGTGTTTTCTCTAGTTCCACCTCCACCGATTATACTGGCCACCATGTAAACCCTTTCGTTTGCTGAAAATTGCGTTAAACTAGCAACAACTTTGTTGATGTAATGTTTGCACGAAAATAAAATAAATAAAATATCCTGATACATGAATCTATAATTTCGACTCTTTGGTATTAACTTTGACCTGGTCATTCAATTGAGGTCTAAAAGTATTTTGCATGTATTCGAATTTAACATGAATTGTGCCTTTTTATGTTCGTAGGGGTGGAATATGAACATATCGCAATAGAGAGTTCTACAGTTAGATCAGTATCATTGTAATGTAAATCTAAAGCAATGAACTTGACTGCCATATCAGCGAATCTGTCTTCTCCGTTGAACTCAGTACACCAATTCCTTAATAAACGTTCTGCATTGTATTTGTGCACAGAGAAAGAGAGACAGAGACTCGGCTTCAATACTTTGATTTGAAATATAAAATTTGATGAAACATGTCAGTATGATACAGCGTCGTGAATACACTACTTTTTAATCCTCACCGTTATAATAATATCTGTATTGGTATATTGTAAGATTCAATATAGAACTCTTTGAATAGAGGGAATGGGAATAATGTTTCCTAAGCGATAACAGCATTAAACCATTTTGGCTTTAACCACTAAGTTCAGAGCAATATTTCATTATATATTTAAGCCGTCCAGAGAGTCCACATGCGTTAACAAAAGTGAAATATGTGCCCTTTTCTTAAGATATCTCCTCATAGAATATGATACGTGTACATGTTGTTGTGTTATAAACTTTTGCTAAATATACACAGCTTATAATGCTGTGAACAAATATATGGGTTAAAAAGAATATAGCATCTCTTCAGAAGCAAAAAGGTATATGAGTAAAT